CCCCACAAGATCCGGGACACAGGGCTGCTGCCCGGCTGGGCCCTGGGCCCGGGGGGTGGGAGGGAGGGAGCAGATGGTTGGAAAGGGTGGGGGAAGGTGTCGCTGGGACCAACTGACTTCTGAGTCTGAGGTCCTTGCGGGAGTGAATGGGACCGCGGAGTCAGGGAAATTGTGAGGACAGGGCTCAGATGTGAATGTCACTGAGGATGACAGCAGTGAAGGGCCCTGTGAGGCCCACCCTCAGGTCCGGAGGCGATCAGATGTGTGTGTTGCGGGGGGGGGTCCCGTAAGGGCCTCCTTAGTCACGGTGACATCTGTCTGCCTGGCGAGGGACGCCTGTGTGAGTGCTGTACCTCCTCAGAAGTCCTGCGACTTGTAGCCGACGCAGTCGCTTCCGATGTCCCACTCCATCCTCCGGAAGAAGTGGACCATGGCGCTCTCCGCCAGCAGCCCGCACACGATGGCCAAGAAGGACAGCTTGCGGCGGGTGTTGAGCGTCACTGCAGAAGCAAAGGCACACGACACGGGTGAGTTTTCAGAGTGGAATGACGTGACGCTGTCATTATGACGCGAGATGTCGATGACGGGGTGTGATGGGGATCGTTTGGTGAAGCTGTTTTTAGAAAAACTCTTATTTGTTCTTATTAACTGATGCTGCTACCTACTCCCCCTTTCCCAGCTGCAAACCTTTGGCGAGAACCAAAGCAGTGACTCATAATAAAATACTCCTGAAGTCAAGACACAGATCCCGCCGAAACCGGTTTGGCTCAGTGGATAGAGCGTCGGCTTGCGGACTGAAAGGTCCCAGGTTCGATTCCGGTCAAGGGCATGTACCTGGGTTGCGGGCACATCCCCAGTAGGAGATGTGCAAGAGGCAGCTGATCGATGTCTCTCTCTCATCGATGTTTCTGACTCTCTATCCCTCTCCCTTCCTCTCTGTAAAAAATCAATAAAATATATTAAAAAAAAAAAAAAGACACAGGTCCCCATTAATATTAAAAGGGAAAAGAAAATACAGATTCTAAGGTCTTCAAGGAAATCGCAGAAAAAATGGGTACTTTTGGTTTTACAGGTGACACGACGACAAGCATTATGATAAAAAGTGCTCATTTAAAAGAGCACTTCTCACAAGACACACAGAGTGGCTTCTCTGTCCCTTTGGTGGAGCAGGAGTTGTCCTTGCTCGACAGCTGCCTGACCGTGCAAATCTGGGCAAGTCATTCATAAAGTGGAGATACCAATGGCTGCCCTGCTAACCCCACAGGACAGAGGCATGCATAGGAAAACATTCTGAAAACTACATGTACCATGTGGTGAAATTGAACAAGTACTGAATACGTGCTGTGTAGAACGCACTATACAAATGGTAGGCATTGTCATCATTCTATAAAGATTTCCAGGGTTTAACAGGTCATATAAAAACTGTGATCTAGAAATAAAAGGCTATTAGCTTTTTAAAAACGTCTATTTTTAGTGATCCCAGAGAGGAAGGGAGAGGGAGAGAGAGATAGAAACATCAGTGAAGAGAATCATTGATTGGCTGCCGCCCGCACAACCCCTACTGGGGATCGAGCCCACAACCCGGGCCTGTGCCCTGACAGGGAATCGAACCGTGACCTCCTGGTTCATCGGTCAAAGCTCAACCACTGAGCCACACTGGCCGCCGGGCAAAGCCTAGAAGCTTTTATATGGTGGAAAGCTGAGCAGACAGACGTACCTCTGATTGCCTGGAAATGTGATGTGAGGACGAACAGTTTGATGAGCCGCAGGCACAGCGGTGTGTACTCATGTTCCCAGATGACCGCCGGGATCAGCAAGAGCTTCCCGTAGCTGGATAACAGCAACGCCTTCAGCAGCAAGACGAAGTTGGGGTTCTTTTTCGGCGCGATGCTTCCTTCTATCCATAGGAAGGTAAAGATGCCAATAAAAAAGGCAGCTTGTTCTAAGAAGGAAATGGGAAATGAAAATCTTAACGATTGTCCCAATTCAAAAACACCATATCCACGTGAGAGCAAACCACAACCCCAAAGTACAACGTATTTTCAAGAACAACTGCTTTTCCCCTTTCATTTTTTTTTTTCCTTTTGTGTCAAATCCTGCTGGTATAATTTTGGAAATATATCTCAACAATTCTGTCTTTTTTTTTTAAATCCTCCCCTGAAGATGTTTTTTCCATTGATTTTTAGAGTGGAAGGGAGGGAGAAAGAAAGAGAGAGAGGCAGCCAGCCAGCCAGACATTCATTGGTTGCCTCCGACCAGGGCTGGGGATGTGCAACGGAGGTATGTGCTCTTGACCTGAAATTGAACTCAAGACCCTTTGGTCACAGGTTGCTGCTCTAACCACTGAGAAACCCGACCACGGCTCAATCTGTTTTTATAAAGATGGGGCCCAGGTCATTTTCAAAATGGAAAATGAGAACTTAAATTTAAGGATTTTATCAACAATATGATGTCTCAAAATATTTTATGAAATTCTTTATTCTGATAACATCCATCAGATGGATAAAGACCATTTAATTGACAGTATTTCCATACCATGAGTGTGGTAACAAATAAAAAAGTAAAAAAAAAAAGATAAATTAGATAAACTCATTTAGCAGGTCAGCGGTAGAACTGAAAATCAAGTCTCAAGTCCTATATTAACTAGCTCCTCTTACCATGCACCTTATTTTTAATCACAAGCGCAAGTGCTAGTTAACTAAATATAGAAAGCATGACCCCCGGCCAGCCGTGGCTCAGTGGTTGCGCACCCACCTATGAACCACAAGGTCATGGTTCAATTCCCCATCAGGGCACCTGCCCGGGTTGCAGGGTCCATCCCCAGTGTAGGGCGTGAAGGGGGCAGCCGATCCATGACTCTTTCTCATCATTAATGTTCCTCTCTCTCCTTCTCCCTTCCTCTCTGACATCAATTTTTTAAAATATATTTTATTGATTTT